GTCGGGGGGGGGGGCTTATAGCCGGAGGTTTACGGTATAATGACAGAGATAATTTTACCTATCATTGGGCTATCAATGGGAGAGTCCTGAGTATTAATATTTAAGAGTGAAAATATTGATTATGATATAATGTTCACATTATAAAATCCCCAAACATAATTCTCTTTCTCGACCATGTCAAAGATACACTAAACCTAATAAGTTCTTATTGCAACAGATTCTCATTTTAAAGTAGAATAATTGCCACATGTAGCACTTGTTAAGGTGAGATAGCACATCGCTTATCCATCCAGGACAAATGACCCATTTGACACAGTTAATTAACACTATAATGGGGGTAATTTTTCTTTCTTAAAATGGCAATGTATCGATATGATTTTTCAATGGCAAAATGCAATTGGGCTGTACGGGCCAGTCTGTACCAGTGACTAATTATATAGTTAAGCTAGGTGACACTTGCTCGATGGCTTCCCTGTTAGATACTGTACTCCTTTTGAAAAATATTAATTGCTACATGTAGTGTTAAGGTGAGATCATGGCACATCTCTTATCCGTCCTGGACAAATGACCCATTTGACACGGGGTAACATTATAATGAAGTAGTTTTTCATTCTTGAAATGGCGATGTATTGACATTATTTTTCAATGGCAAAATGGAATTGAACTGTAACAGTGATTAATTATATAGTTAAGGGACACTTGCTCAATGGCTACCCTCTGTTATATACTGTGCATACTCCTTTTGAAGTAATTAAAATTGCTACATGTAGTGTTAAGGTGAGATGGCACATCTCTTATCCTATCATTGCATGTGATCAATGCTTATTTGTCTCAACAAAGAGATGGTTTGCACTCTAGCTAGCTATCTCATTGACAATTAGATAACGAGTAGCGTAAAGCCAATCAGAATACAGCATTTGCATTAGAACTTGACAACATTTAAAATTACTAAATATATATACTGTATAGACTAATGTGAAAATAAATACTTTTAGGATGACGACCCCATTGTCCATTGATGAAGAAGTGAGGAAATCAACCTTGAATCCTTGAATCTTGGTATCAGGTGACATTGCATCCTTGAACACATTGTACATTGCTGCCGTGGGGCAAATTTACTTGCGTTTTGCTGGTAAAAATATTCCACATACTTATTGCTACATTCCATGTTCTAAATATGGAATACACTCCAGGTGTTTCGAGTGTTTATGCATTTCTAGAATTTAGAAGCTGTCACCTGAAATCAGCCGAATGTGGGAAAGCCTATAATCTATATACAAGAATATATTATAAGCCATTTCGTTTCTAAGAGGGAAAAGAGCCAATAAAAACGGGTTACTAAGTGTACAAAGGGATGAACTTCGAAACAAAACCAGTTCGGAACCGAATTTCCAAGTAAACATTGGAAGCCAGTTTTGAAAAGCAAATTGAAATCGAGAGTAAATAAATTTAACAAGCCAGAACTTAATAACTTCCAGTTCAATGTCACCAAATATTATACAATTACTTTATGGTTTCCGTGTTTGGATGGCCTGATCCAAACACGCGGGAATGTTGCGAAAAGCGAAGGCGAGTGATTTTGCGCGCTTTTCTTAACTCGAGTTTCGACCAATCAGAGCACGCGTTATATACATGTTATTTTATAAATTAAAATTTCAGCACGCTTGTAAATAGTTAGGTTTGACAATTACTTTGAAATAAAGTCGAAATATTACTTTGAACTTTTGTTTAAATAACATGATCGTTATCGCGAGAACCACTAAGTATTTTAATTAAATACAATATAGTAACTTCGAAAACGTAGTTATTCAACGTTTCGACAGCTATAGGCCGATAAAATTTTGATTCATTTTGATCTATATCGATTTAGATTTACCTTTTCATTTTTGTTTTCATTTACTTTAAATTGTTTTTTAATTTAATTTTGTTTTGAAAAAAGATTACATTTTAAATGACATTTACACTTTATTTTATTTCAAATGTCCTAAAAAAATGAACGATAGCGATCGGTCACATAATCATAAGGAATGATGAAATTACTATACATATCACATTATATATATATATATATATATATATATATATATATATATATATATATATATATATATATATATATATATATATATATATATATATATATATATATATATATATATATATATATATATATATATATATATATATATATTACGCTCCTTCACTTCGGTGTTGTTGATGGGGACATCGCTCTCCTTGTTTCTCCTATAAGTATGGATCTTTTCGAAGCTATAGAGCCGTGGCTATCCCATGGAGTGATACATTGACTATGAATAGGTTTCACATATAATGTGGTTTTAAATTCATTAGTCATAGGATTGAAAGATACTAAGGTGTCAAGGTATGGTAGATTATTTTGCGTAGGTAGCTCGCGATTGTAAATTTAATGGCATCGTTCAAGTTGTTGGCCATGGACAATAAGCAATGGACAATAGCTTTTACATTCTCAATCAAGCGATGAATGCATGTATACTGTATATAGAGGGCGATTTTATTATTCAGATTATTGTACTCACTGATGAAGCCTTAACCGGCGAAACGTCTGAGGAATTTAATAAATAATCTCACAATTTGACTGAAGTCCCTTTTTTGGTTTAAAATAAACCAACCGATTTACTTAACAAATCCAATTTATATATATATATATATTTAATAAACCAATATATATATATATATATATATATATATATATATATATATATATATATATATATATATATATATATATATATATATATATATATATATATGCATGAATATAGGTTTTGATTGTCATGCCTGGATTATTTCTGTCGGTTGGTTTATTTTAAACCAAAAAAGGGACTTCTTCAGGCAAATTGTGAGATTATTTATTAAAGATCCATACTTATAGGAGAAACAAGGAGAGCCATCTCCCGATCAACGGATTCACTATCAAGAAATAAGTCACTATGTAAAATAAAATCGATCTTTGCAAGTAACGGATACCCAAAGAAATTTATTAACTCAGTCATGCAACAAACATTACACACCCAACCACAACGAGAAAACATCGAGAAGTATGTATATCTCAAGCTGCCCTTTATTAATGAAGAGCTTAAGCGCCGTGCCTTATCTATAGTCCGACGATCTGGACTTGAAAACATTAGATTACAGTTTGTAAATGGACCATCCCTATCAAAAATATTTGCTCCACGTAAAGAGAAGCTAAGTTGCCCCGATAACTGTGATACTTGTAAACTAGCAATTAAAACTAATCTATGCAAGGTTAAGAATGCGATCTACCTTATTAATTGTTTACATTGTCATCTGGTCTATATGTGGGAGAAACCGGAAGAACAATACGATCGCGGATAAAGGAACATCTCCGAATGGACAAACAAACAGTTCATGTACACCTTAGAACTCACAATATTGACCCACAAAGCGAGACGACAATAAGTTGGAAAATCCTCCATTCAAATATAAATTACCGGTATGAGCGTGAAGTGATCGAAGCACTTGAGATTCGGAATTATTCGGACAGAATTATGAATGGTTGTGCTGGACGTAATATCAATATCTAGTTTGACTAATTGGAACAATCAGGCTTCTAATATATCCTATGGTACAATCAACAATATAATAACAATCACTCTTTTAACTTAATTTTAAAATTTTTAACTTAGAACTCAAATTAACATTTTTAATAACATTCTTTAGGTTTTACATTCTCAATCAAGCGATAAATGCATGCATATAAAGAGGACGATTTTATTATTCAGATTATTGTACTCACTGATGAAGCCTTAACCGGCGAAACGTTTGAGGAATTTAATAAATAATCTCACAATTTGCCTGAAGAAATCCCTTTTTTGGTTTAAAATAAACCAACCGACAGAAATAATCCAGGCATGACAATCAAAACCTATTCATATATATATATATATATATATATTCATATATATATATATATATAGGATGACAAAACCACCTGATGATTCCTATACGAATGAAACAGACTGTTGTGGTTTTTTGAGGTAAAACGAAAAACTATATTACGCTCTATCTATATGGTATTGAGCACTGTTT